TGGGGGGGGGTATATTACAATGACACCTGGAAGTGGGGGGGATATGTAAAGAATTTGGTACCATTGGGTCGAAGCGCTCTCTGCCGCTTTGAACGCATTCTCCATATTTCTTATCTGAAAATGAGCAGCTCTAGAAAAGCGCGTGAGATCGGAGCTCCCGGGAGGGACAGGTGCTGCGTGTGGTTAGTACGCAGCCCCCGTCCTTCTCTACGATAGTATGTGGCCGTACGCCGCCCTACGCTCACTCACCCTGCTTGTCCGTGCGCGTGCAGGTGTCTGTGCTCGTACACTTACAGGATGGATCCTGTCCGCGCCCGAGCTGGGGTACCGGCACCAGTACTGACCTGCACTTGAGGTGAGCATAGGGGCGGCGTATGGCCACATACTATTGTAGAGAAGGACGGGGGCTGCGTACTAACCACACGCAGCACCTGTCCCTCCCGGGAGCTGCCCGATACGGCCATGCATGCCGCACAGAGCTGTACGTGCCGGCCTTTTCTCGTGTGAATGAGGCCTTATGGTAACCCGCTCATCGTCTGTATTTTATCTGCCAGCTTTCTGGGTGGGAACGTCCAAATCGCACCCACTTTAAGGGTTGGTCCAACTCAAACTCCGCCTCTAAATATGCAGAAGACTGTCCCATCACACCCCTGTACAGGTTGGACTCAACCAAACCCTGTCTCTTAGTAAGCTGCAACCTCCTACCCACAGCCCTGTACAGATTGTCCCTTCCTAGACGCTGACTCTGGCACCGTCCACTAACTGCTCTGTTCAGGTTGGCCCTGCCAACAAGGAACGTGCTGATAGGAGGAGAGATTAGAGTGAGAGGAGCTTATGAGTCTGCTGCTTCCCCTTTTACTGTCCAATCACAGGCTAGGGGGGCGGGGACAAGACCTATAAGTGTTACTGAACTGCAGCAGAAAAAATCCGGTCTCCTGGCCTGCTAGAGAGGAACCATGTTGTCTGTCTTTCAGCTGGTCACATTTTTTCATCCTCTAGACCGCGAAGAACCCTTCCCTTTTATCCACAAGCGGCGTTACGCCGTTTTCGCCATTACGTCATCCTCGGAAATTATGTGTTTGCGCCTATTAGTCACCCCGCAGAATAAATTTAGCGGTTAAACGCCGTCATGCCACCGGCCTATTTTCATTTAATAATGATAGCTTCCCCCTGCCTTTCATCGTCAGGATAAG